CTGGAACTCGGCAAACGTCTGGGTTGTCTTCATAGTACAATGGTGGTTATACTCGTATCTAGCGTCTCGTGCTTGATTGGGATTCGTGTAGACAGAGGCCAGGTACTCGATCATCTCTCTGGCAGAGGCAAAACGTGTCTGGGAGTCTTCATCGTAGCGTGGCTGGAGGTGTCGCTGGGCGTCNTGGCAGAGGCAAAACGTGTCTGGGAGTCTTCATCGTAGCGTGGCTGGAGGTGTCGCTGGGCGTCGCCAGTCGTACGATTGAACAAGTAAAGCATCTTGTCTTCTTCGTCTTGGAAGTGGTCTGCGTTGCTTCGGAATTTGCCTTGGATCTGGATCTTCCAGCTAGGAAAGGTGGGGTCTTGTCCGTTGGACAAAGGCTGGGGATCTGGCTGTTTCTTTGAGTACTTGTGGCTAGTACTCGAGCTTGGTGTCGCTGAATCAGGAGTATTGCGTTCGATAGATCGAGCGATAATTTGAGGAGAAGGTGAAGGTGAAGGTGACGAGACTGCCGGTTGCTTGTCGCTGGCACTGCCTAGAGCCGTGAGTCGATCTAGGATCTGGCCTAGTACGTTGTCGGTCTGCGACTGGTTCTTGGAGAGGGTGCGAATCTGCTCTTGAAGCTGAGATGCATTGACCTCCTCGGCATCGTCGTAGTCGGAGTCTTGCTGCTGGTAACTGGCAGCTTGGGGTCTGCCGTCGTCGACCTGGATTGTGTCGTCCTGGTGTCGGCATTGTCGGTAGAGCTTGGTCCTGCTCTTGAGGTGTTCTTGAGGTGTGTTCCCGTGGGACACGTTCTAGGTGGTTCCATCGTGGCAGTTAGTGAATATAGGTCGAAAAGGTGGGGTCGCACGCGCGACGAATCTGTTTTCTTAACTTTTGTATATCCAGGGCGCTCCGCTCACTGGATCTTCTCAACTCCTTTTGAAAAGCTCTGCGGCTGGGTAGTTGAGGATCGTGGGGTCCTTCTACCGCGACGGATAGACAGGAAGGGATATTCAGTAAAGCCTTCCCAGGCAGTGTGTGAGAGCTTAGAATAATGTGACGACACGTACGCAATTTTTGTATATCCAGGGCGCTCCGCTCACTGGATCTTCTCAACTCCTTTTGAAAAGCTCTGCGGCTGGGTAGTTGAGGATCGTGGGGTCCTTCTACCGCGACGGATAGACAGGAAGGGATATTCAGTAAAGCCTTCCCAGGCAGTGTGTGAGAGCTTAGAATAATGTGACGACACGTACGCAAGGCCCACGGTGTAGGTTGTGGAATCGTAGAACTGTCAATTAAACAAAGATTCTAAGCTGAGGAGAAGAGGAGAGCTCGAGAGAGCTTCGATCTAAATACTTGGTGTGGGTCGCTAAGCGAGACCACGTGATCCGAATGGTGGTGACGGTTAGAACCGTCACAAATAGTATAGTCTATTATAAATAATTCTACGTTATTATATTAATTTTTACTATTTTATACTTATTCTCCTATACCTCTATCTATAAATATACCAATACCTTTTTAAATAGTTAATATATTAAAGTCTTCTTTATATAACTTACTATCCCCTTTAAATCGCTTAGCATAGAATAAGCTTTTACGCTAATATCCTAACCCGGTTTTTTTAAATATAATTAATTAAATACTATAATATAGTACTCTTATTAGCTATAAAGGCCTAGAGATCTATTAAATTTCCTTAAATTTATTTTTAGCTTACGAATTCCCCGAGTTATTATTCTCTAAAATTAAGAAATATCTATAAAGTATACTAGTATAAATAGTAGATCCTATAAGAGACGACCCTTTTATAACTTTACTACTAGGATTTATACTAAAACTAAAACCGAATAGTAACTAACGCTAAATCTATTACTTATCTTTTCTTAAAGGGAACTTGGTTGATTCAAATATACTAGATAAATATATATATTTATAATATATTACATTCGAAAAGGGTTTAGATTTAGTATAAAAGGTAAGCTAAGGCTATATAATCTTTAAGCGTAATATATTATATACTTTTAGAATAGTCACTATAGCTTCGTATATATAATAGATACTAGAACTTTAGTAGAAAGGTATAAAATATATTTATATAGTTCTTCCTTTTAGTTTAGTAATAGCTCCTTTTCTATTTAACTTATTTATAAAGGCTCTAGAATAAATTATTAAGTTATACTTAAAGTAGCATTTTTTTAGTTATTATTTAAATGATAAGTTTACTATATTCATATAAAAAGACGTTATATTAAAATTTATAGAAGAAGAGGATAAGAAATTTAAGGATTTAATAATAGTTCTAGGAATACTAATTAATAACCTTAAAAATATTTATGGTATAGTTATGAAGGTCCTAGGATACTTAGTAAATATAAATACTTTTAAGTTATACGGATTATTACCTATAACTTACTTATATATCTATATCCTTATTATTATTAAACTATGTTATTCTAACGAACTATATCTAGATAAGGTTAATCTAATTCGTATATACTAGGAACAGGGGTATATTCTCTTATATAGAACATAGTATTTTAAACTTAAGTAATACTAGATCCTAGAGGATTATTCTTAGAGTAAAAACCCTAGTAAGTCTCTGGTTATTTAATAGTAGGGGAGGTAGATTTCCTTTAAGGAGTTAGTAACTAACGACCTTAGTAATAAGCTCTTACTACTCTTATTATAGTATTAATTACTTCTCTTATAGTATCTTCTTTATTATATTAGGCTTGTAATTCTGCCCTTACTATTTCGTAAGCTTCTTTAGCTAAGCGGTTTCTTACTCCTATTAGAGTTTACTAACTATAAAGGTCTTATTCTATATATAAACGCGCGATTACCTACTCTAGTAAGATTTATAATGTAACCGTGTGGAGTGAACCACTGCTTGCTGTGATGAATACGGAGTCAAACGGAAACTGCTGTATTGAGCGAACAACTAAGTGAGGAGAGAAGAGAGTTCCAGAGGAACGGAAGCTTAAATTATAGAGATAGTAATTCCCTCAGTTTTGATGATGAATGAGACACTTGTTTATGCGGAAGAAAAAGAAATGTGTTGGTTTGACTTTACGTCAATATACAGGTGATGCAATAGACCTATATTACTAACGTATCTGTTGTAGTAACTAAGTCCTTGTTGTTAAATTGTATAGAGGAGCAAGTGTAGCTGGCTGAGTCCCTGCGTACTTGTAGGTACTATGAGTACGCTAGTCCTAAAAGAGCCGCTACGCTCGGAGAGTCGGAACTAGCTAATAACTATTCACTAATATAAACCGACAAAATGATTTGTTATAGCCTAGGAAAGTGCTAATTCATGTCCTCTGGGATAAAACCCTCAGCTTTTAGCGGGTTTGTTATATCGGAATTATGATGCCTGGAACCAATCTAGAAGAGCAATGCGTGTAGTTTGTTCGGTTGGATACTGATAGTGAAGAGTGTTGTGTGAATTACTTAGTGGTCCTTGTAGATAGTCGTATGTATGGCTGCAAAAAAGGATGGGGAATTCTCAGATATCATTCTAATTTCTGAAATGCTGTTTGGCCTTGAGAAGACCTTACTGCTTCATTGGCAGGAAGATCCTAATGAATGTTATCCCTTCCAGAGTATCGATTATTCAATAATAACGCACTCGAAGTGGATGTAGGTAGATGCGATGATTAGGTTGCATTGAGACTTCAATGCTGGCAAATCTAGTCTGGTTGGCTAAAAGGCTGTGCTTTACAGAGCAGATTTTGTAATAGTGGACACGTTTGCTTCAAATTGAGTTCACGTTCTTTTTGATCCGTGATACTAGTTTTTCTGAATGTTAACAAAGTCGGCTCTACCAAACTGTCCTACATGTCGGGAAGAGATCAGGGTCGCTTCTTGAATAAAAGCTAAAACTCCAAGTATTCAGTTGGCGAACACTACTTTTGTTATCTATATTATGGTTCTAGGAGGATGATATGTATAGACTCTAGTGGCTGTTATAGTCCTTAGAAATACCAAAATAATATAAGTACTCAAACAGAGAGCTTGATCAGGGCAACTTGTAACCCCCAGGTACGAGCCTCTGAAACACGCAATTGGGGTCATAGAGCTCGCTAACTCGTTTCAATCGCTGAACGTTCTCTGCTCCGTAGTGACGGATGACCTCCTGGTCCCAGCTGGCATCATTCATGAATATATACTCCACATAGTCCCCTCCTGATTTTGAGGCACTGTCAATATCGCCAATCATGTCCCGAGCAGCATTATGCACTGTCATATCGTCATTTGATGACCACCAGCCCGAATCAAGGACTAACCAGGTCTGGTTCACGCACTCCAAACCCAGTGCATTACCCCCCATTCTTCTACCAGCTTCCACAAGGCTGGTTGTTATTGGCTGTATTCCGAATGCTTGGGATCCAGCGGTGACTGATTTGATTGTTTTAATAGATGACGAAGTAGTGATGATTTCCTGGATTCTTTTGTAGAGTGCAGCCGTGGGTTTGAAGCTCGTGGCAACGGTGTCGATTCTGCTATGTGTTAGCGATAGAATGTAAAAATAAAGAATGGTTTCAAACCTGGGTATGTCAACAGAAGCTTGCCCACTGAGAAACTCGGTCAAAGTTTGTGTCTTCGTTGTGTCGAAGGTTGTGGTGATATTATAGAATGCAGCAAATGCTGGAGGGGTCTCAATAGGTTTCAAGTAAACCATGTTGAGGAGGATTCCTATGCTTGCGTTGGTGGGGAAGCCTTGCAGCATTATGTTTGCATAAGGGTCTTTGTTTGGAAGCGATTGATATTCAAGCATGGCATCGAAGAGTGCAGGCATTTCATCTAGTGTGTAACCCTTAACTCCACCCCAGACCTGATGTATGGGATAAGTATAAAGTGTCATGGCAGTGACGATACCTGTGCGGGTATCTGTCAGTCAAGTGCTGCAGAGAAGCTCTTTAACCCATTGCATACCAAAGTTATTTGATCCACCTCTCAAGGCCCAAAACAATTCCGAGTTAGAGTTAGAATTGGCATTAACCACAGATCCATCGGCGAGAACTACTTCGAAGTTCACCACATTATCACAAGCCAAACCATATAGGTCAGATAGGTAAGAGAGGCCGCCTAACAAAAATGTAAGGATTCGCTTCTTAGTGATAGAAAATTTGATACATAAAGAAACTTACTTCCTAGTACAAGTCCTCCAACCCCAATATCCAAAACCCGGCCACCTACTACGGTGACATTGTAGCGGTCAAGCTGGGTGTATACATTTTTCCATCTTTGACCAGTTCCTATGACAACCACATTTCTCTCTGCATTGTATTCTACCTTGTCGAGTCTCTGGAGATCTATTAAAACGCCTCGGTCGATATTCGCTGCTCCTGGCATGGTCATATGTCCTCCTGATCTGATGGCGAATTGGACATTCTCGGCTACAAGACGGGGAATAACCTTTTGCAGGTCCTCAACACAATCGGGCTGGAAAATACAGAAAGGCGTTTTCCATGAGGTTTGTGACCTGTTACAGTCAGCATTTGGGTTTCGAGAGATATATGTAAGTAGATATTCATTTCTGAAGCTCACCAATGAATATGGCTGATATTTTGGTATTGGGGGTCACTTGGAAGAATGGTAGCTACACTAAACTCATGCTCGATTTGTTGGCAGATCGTGGGATAGTCGATATTAAAATTATCTACGTCGTTAGAAGTTGAGATAAGCTTTGCAAAAAATGACAGGACTAGAAGCAATTGAAATATCATCACTGCTATTGAGTTGGGTAACTTTTGATGTGGTTGGAACTTTCCAGGCTGGGGAAGAAGCTTTTTATCTATTCCTTGAGACCCTGGAATCTCTCAACCAATTTCCGGTCACGTTTCTCACCCCTTTCACGTGGCCAACATGTAGAAAATATATCCCTCCAAGCCTGTGTAATGACGCATACGACATCTAGGCCTCCATTTAAGTCTGAAGTATTCAGATAAGTCTTATGATTGAGACACATTTTCGGATCGCTTGTAGTAAGATTATTTAAACAAATCTAGCATAAGCGCAGTTATATAACGCGTCCAAATTATGCTTAAATTAGCTGAAAAGCCTGGTAGAAAGGTAGTGTGAGTTTAGACTACTTAGCAGCTGTATTATTCGATAGTGATTTAAAATATGTAGACTTCAGTATAAAATATGAGAAAAGTAATTTTGAATATACCGTAGTTCGAGGTATAAGGCGTATATCATCTGATTGGGAAGCCAGAGGTTATGTATAATATAGAACGTAGTATACTAGACCTAAAAAGGCGATGCACTACTAATTAATCGGTGTACAGTCATATGATCGGCGTGAGATGCGAGTCCTAGTTAAGAGCGCGATTCCGAGTAACACCCCATCTAGTGCATGCATCATGTAGAACCCGAAAACCATTTCTTGATATGAAGAGATATTTATGCAAGTAAGAGATTATTGGAGACATTCATCCGGAGGTGCTCCCCTAGTCCGAGGGTCTATTTTGAAAGACTGCATTCTTAGCTCGCTTATTTCTGTCCCCCCAAGAAGGGACAAGGGACAAGGTGAAGATCGTACCTTTCAATACGCCACCGTGAAATATGTTACAACTCTATTATAAGGTGCAGCTACTTCTTTGACAAATGAGATGCAAGAACCTCGTTCACGACTCTAAGATCCTCCCTTTTGACAACTGAACTCGAAGTACCTTGTTCGTGACAAATTAGGGGCATCGAACCCGTCCGATAGGTCCTTCCTAATCAAGGAACCGTTGGATTGGTATTACCCCCCCTGCCTGTAATGTAGCTTATACTTGAGGGTGCTCACATCAGTCATATGTCAACTTACTCAGGTGGTGATTTCTAGGAAAGGTTATCAGTGCATTCGGCGTGTCAACGCGTAAGCATCAGCAACACATATTACATGGTGCAATTTATGCATTGCAGCCTTGAACTCGGTTTCCTATTGCTCTCCGAATTGAGTTGAGTTGTACCAGTATTTCATCGTCGGGTCCTCTCTTTCTGTGCCTATTTAAGAATGCCGAATCTCTCTGTGCCAGGTGAACTTATCTTCAATAAACAAATTTTATGCAAAGAGAATGCAACCATCTACACCGCAAGATCTGGTTCAGCAGTACGGCGGAGGTCACACTGGAGGATGGGTCGATCTCCTCCCATCTTCATGGATTCCTTATGTGCAATTGGCACGCCTCAGTCCGCCTATCGGCATCTCTCTAATTTATTTGCCACACATATTTGGGACAATACTTGCCGGCACTCTTCAACGCGCACCAGTCCTTGAGGTTTTGAAGGTGTCTTTATTGCTTCTAGGGGGGAGTTTCTTCTTCTCCAATGCAGCACATGGCTGGAACGACATCGTCGACGCAGAGGTCGACAAAAAGGTCGCTCGCACCAGAACACGTCCTATTCCTAGGGGTGCAATGTCAAAACAAGCTGCCTTTATGTTCGCTACAACTCAGGCTATTGGCGCAGCTGCATTTTTGTTAGTTTTGCCACCCAAGACGGCGTTGTATGCAGCCATAAATATTCCCGCTACACTCTATTATCCTTACGCCAAGCGACATACGAACATGGTGCAAATGATTCTCGGATTTTGCCTTGCCTGGGGTGTTATGATCGGCATAGCAGCCATGGGCCTCGATCCCATTTTCGGTGCCGACAAGTCTCCGATATTCCTATTTTTGGGCTGTGTGGCCTGGACTACTATCTACGATACAATATACGCCCACCAGGATGTGGAGGATGATCTGAAGATAGGAGTCAAAAGCACCGCTGTCTTCTTTGGGCAACAGACAAAGCCGTTCCTATGGCTAGTCCTCGGATTCATGCTTGTCTCACTTATTGGATGTGGATATACCGCAGGTTTGGGATTGCTGTATCATATGATCGCTGTTATTGGCACGGCGGTTTCTATGGGCCTCATGATCAGAAATGTGGATTTGAGAAGCTCATCCAGTTGTTGGTTAGCATTTAGAAATGGATTCTGGCTCCCTGGAGGATTTCTGATGGGAGGGTTGCTCTGTGAGTACATCAAGGGATGACATCTATGGAGTAACGATTGAAGTAAGTAAGAGCTAGTGCTGGTCTAAGAACGGTGCCTTGAAGATAATTCTGCAAGAACGTTGGCTTTTAATGTTATTGGTGGCAAGTGGTTCTCAGTATGTAATGAAAATCCACGGAACTTTGGTCTAGCCCAAAATAACCAGTCTGATTTGAATCCGGTAGCTTGGCCAATGAACAATAAAGTGCACCGATCTAAATGCTTACTCCGTGGTCCTAATCCAATGAACAGCTTTTTTTCCCACGTTGCGTTGAGCACATGCGTTAAGAATTGCCCACTCAAAGGGCATCATCCAGAATCAAGATAACGATACAGATGCTTAATTTGTTAGGAAGTAAGCACCGTTACAGTAATATGAGGTGCAGAGAACAACTCAACAATATGGAATGATGTGTAACGCATCACGTCCGACCGGCCGACTATCATACCACTAAATGTTGCTGAAGGAAGCGAATAGATCTTCTAGAGATAAGCCCCACAGTTACACCACATGAGATATCCACGCATACGCAATTCTATCCCAAGTCTGTCATAAAAGAAAGTATTCTATCCGCTCGAGATGGACTCAATATCAATGGTTTAGGCAAGCAGGAAACAACAGATGGGCTGCATTTCTAGAACATATTAAATTGTCTTCTAAACTTTAGCGCTGAGAAGAACATCCACGAAGCTAAGAGTTGCAGTAACTTTGGTCATTTTATTATCTTGAACTTTTTTACTATTGATAGTGCTTCTGGGCCCTCCCCACGATTGACAACTATGGCTAGTACATAGATCTTCTACTTTGTTGGCTTATTGGCCCTCTAGATAATTTATATCACTGACCATTCTGCTGTACTGTTGCCTATATGTCTTTCGCCTTTGCATTTTACTTCCACGATGATTGAAAAGTTCATGGTAGTTGCATTGATATGATCCTAACTATGATTTACAACCACGAGTGACAACACAGGAAAGACAGTACCTTCGACACGTAGAGCACGAATGAGCCTCGTGATATGCTGAATCTTGCTTCTGAACCCCTGATACTAAAATAAGTAAAGGTCAATTCGAATACAAAAGGGGACCGGCGTGACTTACATGAGAAGCGAGGAATCACATGGAGCAACACTCCAAAACCGAAACTTCACGCCTTTACTGTACTCGTTGGCTTGAAATTAGAATTCGTGCCCTGGACTAGTTCCACTTCGGAACCAGCAAGACCACGAAATCCAAACTTTCCAGCGCTAGCCCACGCTTTGTTGTGTGAACCACCGCTGTTTTGTTCTTTGCTCGTTTTCGAACCACTCAAGGTGGTGAGTTTGCTCCAACGCTCCGAGATCTGCTGTGAGGTTTGTGTCCACAGGTTCCCCAATGCTGGAAGGGAAGTTCCAATGAGCGCAACAGTCGGCTCGACCTGACTTGGGATCCAGAAGGTCAATCCATACTTGTCCCACTGACCGGGAATAAATCGGGACATCATGTGTTGAAGCCCTCGAAGGTGTTAGTCTGGGTGAAATCGAGGGTAGGAAGAAAATCGAACTTACACGTCGCGTTTGTGGGCACGTAGAAGTGCATCTGGTTCACGAATATACCGAGTTTGTATGAAGCTGCGATGCATGAACTTCAATCAAATGTCAGTACTTTGCTATTTGAAAGTGTTAACTGAAACGTCGTACTTACCTGGCGCCGAGCAAAAATATTACAATCAGCCCAATGCGTTTTTTCGTTGGCATTTTAAGCTTCCAAAGTGGTACTATAGGCAGCGCGAACAGAATCGCATCGAGCGCAATACTAACGCTGTACAGCCCTACTTGGGTGCGGTAATAGTACCAGTCATCGCAATGCAGTACATGCTTTAGCGGATCCCAGGCAAAATGGTAAGGTTTGCACACAAAGGCTGGAGTGATTGAGAAAACAAAAATATAGAGAAATTGAGTCGCCAGAAGGATTTGTAGGGGTAGTTTCAGTTTCGAGTTTCCAGTTACGAAGATTCGGTAGTAAAAACACAGAATTGACACCCGGATCGCTGCCGACATGATCGGATACAACCACATGGAGACAACGACTCCCTAACGATAGTTAAGTTCTTGAGCAAAATCAATCTTAAGCAAAACAAAGAAAGAGCGCGGCCTACTTTGTACCACAGCGAATACTCAGCAATTGTGATCTCCCATAGCGGTTTCCCAACTCCAGCATTGAGGTTCACATAGGCAGCCAGAACTGTCCAGCCGATGAACAGTAACTACTCAAACTCAGTGGTTAGTGAAGGAATAGGAAGAGAAGCTGGGTTTCTTTACCGTTCCAGGAATAATGGCATAGTCATCAAAGCCTAATCTTTCGCTCGAGATTCTCACGGATAGGCGGGCGAATACTGTCAGACTGGCGATAACGCACAATAAAATGCAAGAAATGGCGACAGAATGTACTTTGTGGGCGTTGTTGACCTCATTTGGGGGAGGGATAAGTCCTGCCAGCGGATCACTCATGTTCGAGGCCATAGTGTGAAGAGAATACGAGTATGCTCCTAATGCCTCCAATTGTGAGCTGAGGAAAAGACGGAATAGATATCACACATTAAATTCAGGATGCTTAGACATACGTAAAATCAGCTGTTATATTAGCTGAGAAGGGGAATCTCGTGCAAGGTTTCGCTGTGGACTGCCCATGGCAACGGGAGTAATTGGTCACTAATGAGTGGCCCCACCTTTTGTCAATAAATTCAAACGGCGGCAGCCTGAACCATCCTCATTATTAGCGCTGATGGCTCAGATTATTCAAAGCTTCTTCTCTAAGCGGCCACTGATATCTGTCTTGTAACGTCAATTAGTCAAGGTCAATCAATTCACCCTGCCGACACTTAAGCGACGTTGGCAGCCGGATGCTTCCGTACAGGGGTGGCTAAGCCACAATACAGTTACGGCTACACCAATCAATTAATATACGCCGTATGGTTGCATGTACGCAAGTCAGCATAATAAGCCTTGTCCGTCCACTCACAGACCTTCTACAAACCCAGGTTGGGGAAAGTTATTTAATCGATTCCCAGGTTAATCTGCAGTCCGTCGTATCACACACCATTTTGAACGCTGTCCGCTACAACTTGCATGCCTGTACTTTCACTGCAAAAACCTTGCGAATATGAACAACTTTCTGCCTTGGCTACTCTACAGCACAAGACTCTTTATGTTGAATGCAGATTCCTCGAAATTAGAAATCGCGCCCCGCAGCATCACGATGGCTCCAACTATTGAGTCTTTTCTCGCCAGCGTAGGCGTTTCGGGGACTGAGGCTCACGATTTGATCGAAACTTACGAAAAGACAACGTCGAGTCCACTTTTTCTTGTAAATCAGGTCGCACAACTGGTTCTTGGAAAAGACAAAACAGATACTACTCCAGTAAACAAGACAGTGGCCAGTGAAAACTGGTGAGTAATTCTTAAAATGTGTTGGAGCTATTGAGAAAGTAATTGTAATATCACAAGGTCTCAAGCAGTTATTTCAGAACCATATTGTATTCTCCAGCCAACGAATACTATCGATGTGTCAAATGCACTTAAAATCATCAACTTCTTCCAAGTCAAATTTGCTATTCGAAGTGGAGGACACTCTCCAAACCCTGGCTTCTCTTGTATTGGCAAAGGGGGCATCTTGTTAGATCTTCAAAGACTTAACCAGGTGACTTTGAGTGACGATAAAACTTTCGCAACTCTCGGACCTGGTGGTCGTTGGGGCACAGCTATAGCAACATTAGATGCGCAAGGAGCTACCATAATTGGAGGACGCATTCCTGATGTTGGTGTTGGCGGTCTTATCCTTGGAGGTATGTGATTAGTTCATTATTCATCAACCGTGACAATAAGCCTTCTTCTGACACAACTTATGAAGGCGGTTTATTCCATTACTCGGGCGAATATGGTCTTGCTGCAGATAATGCCAAGAACTTTGAGGTATGGACAATCTCGTCTCGCCTGACTTTATTACGTAACTGATCGTCAATTCAGATCGTGTTGGCAGACGGTACTGTCACCAACGCCAATTCATCAGAAAACAGCGACCTTTTCTGGGCCTTGAAAGGTGGAGGTCCCAACTTTGGCATCGTGACGCGCTTTGACCTATTTACTATCCCAGTTGGACAGATCTGGTTCCAAGTCTCATTATATTCAGTCGATCAAGTCGATGATGTTATTGATGCCTTTGTGAAGTGGCAGAATAACGGAGCATCAGACCTCAGATCTACTGTTGGCTTTGCCATAGGATTGCAAAGTATCACAGTCGGTCTGATCTACTCAGCTCCAGTGGAAAGTCCACCAGCCTTTACTCCATTCTATGACTTGAAACCCTTGTTTGTCGCTGTGCCCGGAACTATAGGTACCACCGGGACTCTGACTGCCATCGTTGGCCAAACTCTTTCGAATACTGCTGAGAGGTGAGCATTGTGGTCAACGTTTCAGGAATGAATATAATTTCTGACAAGTACGCAGACATGACTACAGAGCAGCGAGCTCGCTGGTTGATGCTCAGCTGTACAAAGATGTCCATTCCTTTTGGAGAGAGAGGGCACTAGCCGCACAGAACACCACAGGTGCAAACCAAACCTTCACCATCCAACCCATTCCCCGAAACCTTGCGGAGCAGGGCCTCGCTAAAGGTGGGAATCCCATGGGAATTCCTACGGAGAACCACCAATGTGAGTTTCGTCCCGTAGGTTGCATATTCGTAAACTAACGATTTTTCAAGGGTGGACGACCTTGATCGATTGGAAAGATGCAAGCGACGATACTGTCGTGCGACAGGTTTCTATCGATACGGCTAACGAATGGGAGAGGCTTGCTAAGGCGCGTGGGTTGTGGCTTCCACATTTATTCATGAATGATGCTTCGAGAGACCAGAATCCTGTCGCTTCATATGGTACTGATAACATCCAGAAGCTTAAAAATATAGCTCTGAAATATGATCCGAGCCAGCTCTTTCAGAAGCTACAGAATAGTGGATTTCTGTTATCTCAGGTCTAGAAGCAATTTTCATGTAGATTTACAGTAGCAATTGACTCAATCCACTCTCTACCATGAATGATCAGAAGGCTTTCTTGTGAATCATGTGTAATTGATCGAAAGATCTCGCAGATTGTAACGCAGTGTTACCGTCAGGGGTAAGGGCACGGGCCATGTGCTAAGCGAAGACAAACAGGGAAGAGCTAATTGCGTAAGCATAGAGTTGCTGACTTAACTTTGAAAAGATAAGGGGATATTCCCTTCACCTTTTCTCCCGTTGCATTCAAAAATTTATGACAATCCTACCACTCAAGCGGAAAAGCCAACGCCATCATGTCAAGCCTGATGAATTATTCCGAAACAGACGAAGTAATAACCGCGTAAGTGACCTTTCTCCACATCTGATCGCAACTCATCTCATCCCACTCATTTATACAAAGTTTCGAGGGCGCAATCGAGACCCGCATAATCGCGCACCCTAAACGTGCCTTCGCCTTCGAGGTCCTCTTCCACCTCTCCCACCCCCGACTCCTCGCTCTGGGCACCCAAAAGCCCCCCTTACACTTTCATCCTTATCAAGAGGAGTATGTCCAAGTCATCGAAGGTCGTTTGGTGGTGGAGGTTGAGGGCAAAGAGAATATACTAGACGAGGGGAGTGGGGAATTTTGCATTCGACCTTGGTCGAATCATCGTTTGTTTCCAGTTCAAGGAGAGGCGAGACACGAAAACGAGGGAGACGAAAAGGTAACAAAATTCCTGCTTTCTGGAGAGGAATGCCCAAGAGCCTTTAGATTGGATAAAATCTTTTTCGAGAATTGGTATGCGTATCAGGACCTTTTGGTGGTACATGGGGAGAGGCCGGATATTTTGCAAATGATGTGTGTATGTATACAATCCTCAAAATCTTATACGGATACTAAGAGCAAACTCTGATGATCCTTAATTAGATGTTTGACGCTGGTGCTTCTTACTTGGCCTTGCCGTGGTGGGTGCCTTTTGGACATACCGTCGCGTTGGTTCTGGGGATTTTGGTTGGGAGGTGCCTGGCTGGTTTGCTGGGATATCGGCCCTATCACCAGAAGTGGACGAAGGACTGGCAGTTGGCTTGTGAGAAGATGGAGACATTCGCATTATATCGGCGCTCTGGGGATCGTGCTAAGAGGGGATAATGTGGTTGTTATTACAGCATAGAATTGTTGTTGAGTATCCTTTCTAGATACTGATTCATAACTACTATGAACGTCTAAGCTTTTTTCACTATCCCTATAGATATAAACTTTATCTAAATTACTTTAAAAAGATACTTCCCTTCTAGAGTATCGAGACATAAAAAAACGTGCACTCAAAGTGGAGTAAAGAGTAGAGTAAAAGCATCCACCGTTATAATATCTTCCCCGTCGAACATAAGTCATTTGGCCAACCAGGCAACGTTTCCAAGTATTTGAGCCTTAATTCGACCCAGTTATCGCATCCACTTTTATCCACTTTGAGTGCACGTTTTTTTTGTGTCTCGATACTCTGGAAGGGGTGGTATCTTTTCAAAGTAAATTAGATAAAGTTTAAAGTTTATATCCATTGGGACAGTGAAAAAAGCTCAGACGTTCATAGAAGTTATTATTCAGTACTTAACATTCTTCCTACCAAAGTTTCTTTCCCCAAATTATGATCCAACCTACCTAACCTAGTACGTCCCCCTGAATACCCGCCCACTCAGCGCTTTTTCCCCAAAGCTTCTCCTGCTTGGATTCATCCCGGCTCTCTGGGGAGCTTTCATCCTTTTTGTTCAAAGTGAAAAATCCTTGTTCTCCTGCATACTTAGGACTCATCGCCAGATCTACGACATCCGCCGCCGCCTTCGCCGAGGTTCGCATCATCGGCATCAAGAGGGAGAATATTGGTCCCAATGGTTGTAGCATGAAGCGCTGCATAACAGCCAGCTTTTTGGGGGTATTTGTTCTCAAGGAGCGGGAGTCGGTGAGGTTACCTGGATTGAGAGCTATAGCTGTTATGGCTTTGAGATTTGGGGACTAGGATAGAATTTAGTTTGTTTGTGAATGGGTTTCAAGAAAGGGATGCTTACTTTTTGTAAATGTTTGTTGAGTGCGTAGCTCCATGATGTGATTGCTAACTTGGAGTTTGCATATCTTTGGAAACCCAGTCCTTCTTTTGTTTTTGGGCTCTTCTCCGGTTTAGCAAGTAGCTCCAGATTGTCCGGTAGGGAAGGAGGGTATTTCTCCAGCGCGTTCTTGCCCGGATAGTGTGCATCACTTGAGAAGAGAATGATTCTTCCTCCTGCCGGCCCAAAACTGTTTACTAAATTGAGGATAATTGCAACATGTGCAATGTGGTTTACCTATTTTGGAATGAGAATGGGTTAGCAATCGTGGTCTCCAGGAGTAAGAAAATCGTACCTGTAAAGTCTTCTCAAACCCATCATCCGTGAGTTCAATATCGCTCACGAGATTCCAATAGTACGCATTGCAGATTATAGCGCTGAGAGGGGGGTATTCCCCTGCTTTGATTGAGGAAGCCACTTGTTGCGTGAATTCGTGAACGCTGTTGAGATGGGAGAGGTCGAGTGGGGTGATATGGGTTTTTGAATTGGGGAACTGAGTGACTGTCTTCCGGAGCTTGACGGTGTTCGGATCTGAGTCGGCGTCGTTTCGGACCGTCAAGATCAGTGTAGTATTGGGATAGTGGTGGAGAAGATATCCTACGGCTGGAATGGCGAGGGAGCCATTTGCTCCTGTGATAATGACAGTGCCTGCCATTGAGAAATGTGGAAAAGCAAGTAATATGACAATTATTATTGTTGTCCGTGAGTCTCACCTAAGGTGACAAGACAAAGAGTAATCGAGATGCCGAGAAATGCGTGTGTTGTGATGCCAAATGAAGTGTTATGATATGCAAGCCAAAGTTGGCTAGAACCATGTGATTCCCTGACACATGGTACAGTATGTGATGTTTCCCTCAAGCTGCCACTGGAAGAAAAACCGGTCGTTTAAAGAGCAAAATGAATTGTGGGGTTGATCAAGGGGCGTTGGAGAGCATAGATTTGCCGGCTATCTTGCATGCTTACGAACCTTGATTCAGGAAATGTCTCAATTATTGAAGAGTTGTATTCGCCTCACCCTGCACTCCCCTTGGTAGTACAGCACTAACGCCATATTGCCAATGAAAGCAACATGATAATGCAGGATGCAGACCCACATTGTCATACCATACTGTACCAAACTTCGATGCTTACCAAGCACCAACATGCCAGTGAATGCAAATTCTCCGCATTTGGTTCCGTACCTGTAGCACTAGCGTACAGCCCTTTGTCAAAAGTTGGCTTGAGGATTCGCGGGGGAATGAATAATTTTGTATAATATTACAAATAACGTGATAAGGTTCCATTATACACAATTGCAACAACCCTAACCGTGTACTCGTAGAACCACAAGTTCGTTCCATTTCCACCTTCCCGCACTCCGTCCCAGTCCTGCTCGAGGCTATTCTTCTTCTTTGGTAACGTCCTGTTCTCCGGCAGGTCATATGCATTTCAGCAGCTAGAAAGGGACCGCCGCCAATTTTTTTGCTAGGCACAAAATCTGACGCCTTGGATTCCGTTTGGAGCTTCTTGACACAAAGCTTCTCCGGCTTTGTTCTTGGTCTTAACGGTGGTCAATCGCATGGTGTTAAATGCTCCTGATGCCTGATTTCCGATACAGCAGAAGGTTGCTAGGCCATTGGCTTCGCAGCCGCCATCTCCCTCCGTCCCGTTGTTGCAAAAGAGTTTAGTCCTTAGGGTGATGTGCCCATCCTTATCCGGTGGGTTAGTACCCTGAGGAAGGGCTGTCACTGCCGAGGCGATGCTTAGGGCGAGAATGAAGTTAAGTCTCATGATGACTAGTGGAAAGAAGAGATAAAGATAAAGTAGTATGTGTTGAGTTCAGTGCTTGCGTTGGTAGAGAGAGGTGGTTTGACAGTAGATAAAAGTGATGAATGTGAGGTGTTTGAAGTGAATTGGTTTTCTAAAGCTGGACAATCTAGATATCTTATATAGGAAGGTATCTAGAATGATACAAGACTTGATTTCTAAAAAGATACGGAACCAAATGTTTCAAATACCCTGGCTTTACGTCTGTAACAGTATCGCGACCTTGGCTTTACGTCTGTAACAATTCCGCGCATCAGATATTACGAATAGTACGAAGTATTCCATCCAACCCTATCAGCGTCTATGATACTGCGCAGATTATACGGCTTTAATAGCCTTCGGTCGATCCCGTCGCGACTTCAATAGCCTTCAGCTCTGTATACCCACTTCAAAAGTACCCTCTGTTTTGCCTCTGATCGTGGGTGAATTCTTCAAAAGTATGTCTCAGAGTCCTATACTCTAATACTGGTTTATCTGTAAGCCATTCGGAACTTTAGTACGCGCATGGTACTTGTTGATTCTAGAAAGTAATCGTAAAAGCTGGGTAGCTTACCCCTTCCCTATGACAAGAAGGTATACTTAGGAACGCGGTATAGGGGCACTGGTTTAGACAGGCTAAGTGATTTTCAAGTTTCATTGCTATTATATAGGCTCTCTGTTGCATGACCCTCTATCTATGATTCCCAAGTTCTATTTTCTTCTTCTTTGAGGCTATTCGCACTTTGGCAGGACAGAAATTGACGATTGGCCCGTGATATACCCAGTCTGTTCTAAAAAGCGGTGGTGTGTCGCCAAGAGGTCATTGAAGTTCGCGGAGTGATCAACCGGAGCCATTGAAGTCGTATGATCTGCTGTACTGTATAGCCCTGTCATCCTTGAACCCTCCGGGAGGAATATAAATAAATCATCAGGCTGCATAAACCCCATGTCAAAACCAAGCACAAGCACACAACAGCAGTTTACTATGCGCGCTGCGAGGGGGTTTGCACCAATATACTCACACCAACAGCTCCTTCACGCCATCCACCTTACCGTCCTGCAGAGTATATTGGACTAAGAACCGAATAAGGACAGACGTACTCCGTATTTCAGGACTATTCAAGAAACCTGAACTCCTGGCTGCCTACATACCAAATATAACCACTTCTTGGCCAACACACTTCTATGAAGTACACTTCATTCTAGATAATATTCCTTGCAGCTTCTCGCTTGTTGACCTAAAGGAGTTGTGCATCCGCGATACTTCGGCACTGAATGCTGCTAACATTGGTAACTTTCTTATCCTGAGGTTTCGGGTTGGGTTGGCGTCATCTTGTGCAGTTGTTAGAGTTGGGCGGGGCAGGGGGAAAAAGTCCTGATCTTCGGTTTCGATGATTATTGCCGAGAAAAGAGGCGGGTCTTGGTCTTGGAACAACATCAATATTGGCAGCGGATGGTTATTACCTAAGCATGAAGAAAGTTTCACCAGTGGGTGACAGAATTCGTGGGACAGCACAACTTCTAAATTACGTAATCAAGAACACTAAAAATTACTACTATTCAAACTTTCATTACCACTTCGCAGTCTTTATAGGCTTCCCACTCGTTTTAACTAGTAATTTACATCGCCGAGGCATATCCGCTTTACGGGCACGAACTTCCTCCATTGTAATCTTACTCCATTCGTCCTGAACCACCTCCTTAAGCTCCGCAATTGTATTCCATACTCTCCGACGTATTCTTTGCTTAAGGATATTCCAAAGAGCCTCTATAGGGTTGAGATCTGGGGACTGGGGAGGGTGGACAAGGTTCGTGATCCAATTAG